TCCTCATCGCCAGCAGACAATGGCAAAATAAATGTAGGTAGGCATGGACAGTAAATAAAGGAAGTATGGAGTCTTCCTTTTAAGTCTCCCATACGCGCCTTCGTTGGTTAGCTTCTACAAACGTCCTTGGTTGGCTCTCCTCAATCGACAGCCCCCTATTTGACCGGCCGGTAACGGCCACAGGCACTGTAGGTAGGCATGGAGAGTAAGTGGACGAAGTACAGAGTCATACCTTCCAGTCTTCCGTCTGCGCCTTCGTTGGTTAGCTTCTCCAATCGTCCATGGTTGGCTCTCCTCAATCGACAGCTCCCTCTTTGACCGGCCGGTAACGGCCACAGGCACTGTAGGTAGGCATGGAGATCAACTGGTGGAAGTAACGATACTTACCTACACGTCTTCTGTTTGTGCCTCCGTTGGTTAGCTTATCCAGTCACCGTTGGTTGGCTCTCTTCAATTGGATACGCTTCTGCCCAATATCGTAGGAAAGTTTCCCAGCAGGCTGCCATGTTGTCGGCCCTTAGGTCGAACCAGAGGCGGTACTGAACCTCATCTGGTTGGGCCCACACTGCCCTGTTACAGACAGGTCCAGACTCCTTCAACTTCCTCTTTAACCTGCTCCAGTAGGCCTCTATGGCGTTCGTATGCCGTCCTGTTGTGGCATTCACGGACCCCTACGGTGGTTGACAGTGTAGTGCGTATAACCTTCCGACGGTAGGCGGGTGCAACCCTTTCACTCATCGGTTACGTTAACACTGCCAGCAGCCACCCACTTCCTTATGACGGGCCTTAGGGCCTCCCAGCGCGGTTGTCAATCTGCTCAAATAGGGCTTTCCGCCTGCGTGTATCGTACATACCGACGACGCACAACTGCCGCCGCGGTCGTCCCCTGTTATACTTGCGTCGACTTATGAGCGTCTCGTCTATCTGTACTTCCACGCCGGGTCCCCCAATTTGGGTTACGGCGGATAGAAGTGCGTGTGAGCAGGCCCCGCGGCAAATTCCGTACCATTTCATGGCAGTATTTCTACTGACACCTACACTTGCCGCACACCGCTTGGCCCGCATACCTTCGACAAACTTGTAGCATATACGCATCAGTGTCTGCAGACTGAGCTTACTACCAACGAACATTGACCCCGTCCGCAGGCACCGCTTCCGTCTACAGTGTCCACAACGGAATGCATAACCGTCCGTATGCTGCCGCAACACTTGCATCTGCACAGTACGCCGACATCCGCATGCTAAGGTAGTGGCCAGCAACCTCCACCGCTGCAGGTACTGAACGACACCTGCTGACTGAAGGACGGCTTGTATTTCATCCTCCGCCATCGGTATAATCCGCTGAGGACAGCGCCTACGTCCGCCTGCATTCGGGTTACGTAGGCCTGCAAACTGCTCCGACCATGGATACTTACAAATCCCGTAAAACAGCGACCTTACGCACAGCGGCCGCCAAGTTCGGGAGTTTACCGACTTGCTGTAGGTTGGTGCGGCGGCGTTGGAGTACGTCCAGGTATCCTAAACATTTTTCGCGTTATGCGTATTAAACGGTGCAGGCGGTGGAGACCACCGATATAACAAATAGGGAGGGGGTGAGGAGGGGGTCAGTAAGGGGCTGGGAAGTGACGCAATTGTCATAAGCACTTTATTCAAATACTCTTACCCAACCGAAGTACATCTCTGTCCCCTCGCGTCCCCTTGCGCATCATCTGTTTCCCGTCCATCTGATGCACACCACTTTCAAGTGTGGCGCCAACGATCCCATTGGTTAGCCGCTTGGCGGTTCAGGTTTACTCGCCCCGGCAGCCAATCACATCACGCCCCCAGCCAGCCCACCTTCGATTGGGCATTGCCTACGGTTTTCCCTATTTGCGCGCCATCCTGCGATATTTTTGACTTCATTAAAACAAATAATTATTTTTCTGCGATTTCCAACATTTTTCGGCATCCAGCTGTCAATCCAGTGCCCTCTGCCGTTTACCCCGCCCGTTCTTCCCCTCAAAACCGCCATCCCGTTGTACCCGACCCACCTAGAGAAGTTTTCTTACTGTGGCCGCCTGTTGGGCCTCGGCCGAATTAATTGTTGTATAGATTCTGTCTACCTGGTCTAAAATCCATGTAAAGATTTATTTTTACCTTCTATGACAGTATCCTCAAGTGTCTTGAACAAAAAATACTTATTTTATTCATTTATTTAGAATTCTTGTACGACTAGTAATCCTTTTTCCGACTGGACAGTGAGCAGGCATTCTCAAATGCGTCGTTTCCTTCTTCACCTTGCCTATTTCTTTCTCCGCCTTTAAGAATTCTTGAACGAAACTTAAGTATGCTGTATAATTTTCGTCCCTGTAAGTGACATCCGTTAAGGTTAACAGGCTGTATGACTACATAGCAGTGAATGAACTAATAGCGGAATATCCGAATGTGCAGTACTTTTAACAATTTCCGGTGCCTAGTCCATTGTATTTTATCGTCGCATGCCGCAACCTTGTTCTTGTGCTCGTCATGCCACTGACGATTCTCCGTCCTGAAATAAGTCAAGTCATTTTAATTCACTGTCCGTATCTCTTTAAGCTCTTTATTCATATCCGCAAATAACAATAAAATCAGCTCCATGGCGGTATTTCTAGAAATTGTCATTTGTGTGCGTGAACCGGACGCAAGATGCCACAACTGACGCAATCGTAATTATATGTGCAGTAGTTTCTCAGCAAACGACTTTCTAGTTTTCATTTAAATGTTTCAACAGTTTCCGAAAGGATCATCATGTCAGGGAGTCCGTTCCATACGCCGACGACCTTCTGCGAGAAGGCGTTCCATCGGATGTCCGTATGTACGACTTCCTCTGCAGTTTAAAGGGATGACCACGCAGACGGTCTGTCTCAGTCAATTCAAAGGACTCGTCAATATATAAAGCCCTCTCAGGGTCTCTAACAATCGGATAGGTTTGTATAAAGTCACTACGCAGTTGCCTGTAAGTGATAGGAATCTAATTAAATTCAGCCAGTTTGGTTTCGTGAGGCAGATGACCCGGGTTCTTGAACGTCTTCATAGCCCTCGACTACACTCGTTTTAATTGTTAATAATCCCTGACCCACGAATTCCTGACGTGAACGACAAACTCCAAGTGAGACCGCACGAATGCCCCATATATTTCTCCGAACAGTCCTCTATTAATCGGCACAATTACTTGTCTCAGCGCAAAAAAACTCCTGTGTTGCACGTTGAGCTTTCTTTAACACTGTAACAATGGCTATAGCAAGGAAGCTACTAAATCACCGAGGTCCTTCTGTTCCCCAACATTTGAAAGGGACAGCCCATCAAGAAGGTATCATAGGAATCGCCCTAATCAGAGGTCTTTCTAACACAGAGTCTTGGGAGTCCAATAGCATAAGCCTATTTCTCTCAAATACACTGAATACACCACACACTTACCAACATTAAAATTTAAAAGCTAACGAGCAGACCAGTTGCTAAGTCGGTTGAGCGCTGTGTGCCTGTCTGCGTCAGATCTGATAGCTCTCCACAGTTTAACATCGTCTGAAAACCTGACGGCGCTGCGACCCAGGTTGTTTGGTAGTATGTTCCTTATAATTCCTTCTCCCTCATATTTCATCTTTGTTTGGGAAACGGACAGCAGAGCAAATGAGTACCTTCAAGTTGGCCATTTCACTTTCTAGCATTAGCAAAGTTTCAAGATGGCTTAAAGTGCCAGCACACCTTTCGTCCTAATATGTGACATCGCAAGAAGTTAGCGGCGTTCCGATAACAGAACGCGTATCCTCTTGATCTTTCTCGGATGACATAGCCAAGGTGCTTTTTAGCACTTCGGTCGCCCTCCAGTGGCATTCATGCAGATCGCAGCCCCAAGCATTTAGCTACCTTCTTGACTCACCAACTCCGCGATCTCGTCAGTGCCTGTGGAGGGTAGAAATTGCGACCATGAAAAATGGATACTCCGCTGCTTCTCGCGCGCTGGAAGGCATCAGTAGGTGACAGTGCGCATAATCGATATATGTACGCGAAGGTTCCGCTATTTGGACGGACCCTGAATGCGAGGGAGAAACGCAGATATGGTTTAGCTGCACGTCAGGCTGTTACAGTGTCCAAGTCAATTCATGGTTGAGTGGTCAGTAAGTTCGGTTATCATGATCAATTATGGATGCCGCAATTTTTTTTGAAAAAAATGATGGCGATAGGCTTGAGTCGGTCAAAGTATTGAAGCAAATATCTGAACGACTCATGCTTTTGTCCGTTTTAAGTGCTAGAGAAAAATGTCGGCGAAGAGGTATTTGAGTGAGCATTTGCACATTTTTCGGCGGTTTCAGCGTAATCTTTTTCATTTGCGAGCATTACTGGCACTAACATGATTCTCCATCTTTCCAAACTGCGACAGCGTTCGATAGAAATAAATCTCCAATGTAACGTAAACCAGACAAGGTCAGGAAATAAAAATCATACTTTAAGCACGTTGGTGCTGTACAACACAGTCAAATTGGTGTGTCTTTCAGATATCAGTGTCCCTACCACACCTTTCGGCCGCCTTTTCGTCTTCCGAATTTTCATGTTTTATTAGTTTTCAGTAGCCTAATACGATAGATGAATTTGCGACAACACCATGATTCTTCCTCGCGTCGCTCCGCCTGTGATCTCACTTAAAAGTCCCCATTCCTCAACTTTAAGGACCCCAGCGTTTAATCAGGGTTTAAGTGAATTTCAACTCTTCCAAGAAAAGTGCTGGCTAACGTTAACTAGAATCGAAATTGTCCACTTTGACGTCTATGAGCAAATTACGTACTGCGACGATTCCATGGATAAGCACGCCGAACGCCTCGCCTTGGCAACTATTGACTGGCTTACGACACAATGCAACCAACTTAACATTTTGACAGACAAAAAACTATTGATTATCAAAGTTTCAGAAGCCTTTGTTTTAACATGTAGACTTATACAGCAAACCGTGCCTGATTTGACTCTTGGTGTGCGCTTCTCCTGGGCACATGGACATTGTGGATCGGCATTTGCTGGCGGAATGTGACTTGGGCAACCTTCTTTATGATGACAAAGCCCCTATTGAGCCAAGAAATCTGTATGTTTTTCCGCTTTGTAGTTAATTTGTCATAGCACGTCGTCCTATATCCAAGAGCTTACACTTAGCTGCACGCAAAACTTCTTGAAACAATTTTGGAGTGTAATTCCCGGTTTATCATGATCAGAATATTTTAGCTTCCAACTGAACAAACTGACGACGTCCTGGTGACTTTGGTATGCATTCGAAACATTTGTCATTCCTTTATAAACTATAGTTACCCGAACCCCGTTATCGTCTTCCTCGAGAAAAACAAGTTGTTGCATTTTGTCCTCAGTTATGGTCCATTAGGTCCCTAAAGTTCGAGAATTAACGCGCTGGGAGAGGTTTGCCCGTCTAAAGGGCATAACTAAACGCAAGAAGCCTCGGAAAGTGTGGGACGAGTCCAGCCAAAGTTGGAAGGCTAGGTGGGGCAGAGACAGGATTGATAGCAATAAAGACAAATGGGTTATCGAAGTTCCAGACAATGCTGGTAAGCCTCGTATTTATTAACAACTCTCCTTTCAGATCCATACGAAGACCAGTTCGAGAAAGCTACGAAGGAAAGGAACGAGCGTAGGGCTAAAAACGAGTTTTCTAGACTTAAGAATATTGCCCGCTCTACTAAAAAAGGGCAGGGTAAGTCATTTTGGCTTTTGTTCATGCATTCACAAGATTTGCCAAGAGCCGTATTTTTTCACTCGAAATCCCTGCGTCGAAACCTGTCCAAGCCAAAAAATAGCGCTTCTCTCTGTCCTGTCGCTTATCATCATAGTAGGAAGGCAGCTCCTTCTTGCACTATGAATATCTCAAAATGCATGCTGGCCAGATTGTTATAATCCCAAATAAGTCCTGTATAAAGTCGCATCGGTCAACTGGATCACGGTGCTAATTGCGGTGGCGAAGATCCACTGTCCAAATCTAAAAGTAGCACTCTTTCCATCCAAGTGTCAAACCCTAACAGTTGAAAAGCCGAAATCTCTTCTCAGTCCAGGGACGCTGAAGTTCCTTAAAGCAGCTGCCTGAACAGTGTGCTATGACTCGGTCTCAGTATTTATATTAACCAGAAAATCTACTACCTGTTGCCGATACATTTCGATAAGTAGCCCATCCCTCATGACCATGGTCCTCATTAGCTTGCAGGCGCAGTTTCCACACCTCCCTTAAAGTCATCTCCAATTTTAAGTTTGTCGCTTCTACGACTGGTCATTAGTCCAAAGAGAAGTAAATTTTTCCATGTCGGGTCGACATTCAAAGTGCCTATTCCGTTTCGTCGGACTGCTTTTGATCATCTGCCTCGTCCCTCAGAGTTATGTCCAGTTTTCTAAGGATTGTTTCATCGTCAGCTAGTAACTATCTTATACGGAAAGAGACTTATCTCAAGAAACCTTAGCGGTAAATCCGGTATGTGATTTTTGGTAAGCAAAGACTATTTGGACATTATGGCAACGTTGATTATCGTTTAACCTAGTACCCAGCTATTTCGTCATCTCAGGATGACGGCTCCCGAATGCGTTTTTCGGCCGCCTGTAAAGATCGCACTTTAGTAATATGAACTTCCCGATTGATTTACGGCGCCCTCACAAATTTAAACTTCGTAAAAACCTATACACCCTCCTTCCTTGCGTGAAGTGTGGAATTATTCGGGAATTGAAAAACGTATTTAGAAACGTTAAGGAGTTAGATCCTTCACTGCCTTGTTTAGTTTCCGAGGATATTAAAGCGCAAACTTAGAGTAAATCCTTCGGAAAGGAGTTTTTCCGGAACGGTCCGAAATTTGATGCGAGTATTCGAGCTGAAATCCATTAGCTACAGCGGAATAACCGCGCAATACCCACAAACTGCCAACAGGCAGCCAGTTGACTTGTGTAATTATTTACCGTACTGACAACACAAGTCTATATTACTGGCTGTCTGCTGGTGGTTTGTGGGTATTGCGCGGTTATTCCGCTGTAGCTAATGGATTTCAGCTCAAATATTCATATCAAATTTGGGACCGTACCTGAAAAGGTTTGTTTCGAAAGATTTACTCCGATTTCGCGCATGAATTTAATCGGAAATTAAACAAGGCAAAGTGAAACGGGTTCATATACCAGAAAACACGCGGGGAAGGCTGGGGGACCCACCGATGAGCCAAACCCCTCGCAGCTGCGTCAAGCAGTGGCACAAGATCGGCGAAAAACGCTTGTGTGGGCTTTTAACTTGTACCTGTGTTGTCAGTACGGTAAATAATTACACTATTAGATCCTTCCCGATAACTGAGGTCCGGTCATTTGCACGTCCACAAAAAGGACCAAAATGAGACGCGATATCTAGGAACAAATTTGATTGACATTTCTGCATGTGTTTTTATCGAAAACATTCAGCGGTTTGTGTTGCAGTAAGGAAACCAAGCCAGTTCTCAGCTGGGCATGGCTATTCAGCATCGGTTCACATTAGTGTTTTGAAGTAATAGGAGGAGTGTAACCAGGGCACAATGCCTCCTTAATGTGATCTCTATTGCGCTCTCGTTCATGTGATACCCGAGCCGCCTTTAAAGGAGCCTAATATACGTATTCGGGATCAGGTCGTGTGGCACGCGCATGCGGACTGTTTGGCTTTATTAGCCACTGCGCCCACATCCACCTCTAGCCTTTTTGACATTATCTTAACATCGGATTGAAGTGAGTGACAGTATGGTAGATGCTACGCAAGTCTGCCTCATAAACTAACTCGGTGCTGCCTCCACTGTATAGGGCGCGCAGTGGACTTCGTCGTTTGCGATGGCCCAACTGTCGCCAGATGACCAAGTTAAATGGTCTACCTTCAAAAATTGTTACCGTCACTAAAAGCTCTTGCGACTTTCACATGCGCTGACACCTTCACTGTGAAATTGTCCGAGATTAGGCAGCCGAGGTAAACTTGTTCACAATAACAAGACCACGACCAGTGACGGTGCCTGTGACTTCCGTGTACTCTATAGTTGGTTCCGCCTGATGTTTTCAGTGTTTTATTGACGTTAGTGTTTAGTATAGAGTATGTGCACCCGGGCGACGGAGAGCTTCAAGCTCGTTTGTGACTCGCGGTGACGTTAAGCGCGCAGTTATCTGCGAACAGAAGATCGCGGATCTTCAGAAGATGAAGATGCGATCACTGGAACAAGAATCGCATCTTCATCTGAACTGCTACCTGGAACTCGCCTGTTCGCTTCTATCAGCAATTGCGGATCTTGTTTTTGGGCATGTGCAAAAGCTTCCACTCTGCTTAGTACCTGGTGTCGATTCCAAGGCGTTCGTTTTATGCGGTTCAAAATAGTTGGGGCACGCACTGAACACTGCTTCACGCCATTCGAGGTTGGTCTGCCGTGAAGGTCGCGCGCCAGCATACGCTCGCACAATCGACTCTTATGCACCAATTTTTTCCAATATTCGAACCGTTTTATTCCCCCCTCCACAATCCACTCGGGTTTACCATGTTGAAGACCAATACAAGCGAAGATGCGAGTTCCAGAAACCGATCACTGGAACAAGAGCTTTATTGGCCTGACGTTTCGGATTCTCACTTAAACCCATTATCAGAGATAGTGGCAGAAACGGGTGATTCGTGCACAGAAGATTACACTATTTATAGGATGCAGCCGCTGTGCCGCTGCATCTCTATGATACTTAACCGCTCTCCTCTTCAGCGAGAATTGTTGCCCGCTGGTACGCTGATTGCTTGATGGCCGGCATGCAAGTTGTTAATTGCCGAAATCCACTCACCCGTTCTGGATGCTGATGTGATGATTGCTCGGCCATCTGACTCACCGGCCTGCGCGCTCCCCGAGAGGTTAATTACTTTGGCCAGACTATGCCTCAGATCCGAAACTGGAGTGAGGATGTCGCCGCACTTGTTGATAGATTGGGGTCCCGTGAACCATGACTCAAGCAGTTCGCGCGAGAATTTTGCCCCATCGAACTTGAATGTGTGGCCAGGTCTCGTCGAATGGGCTGTGTCCTGAGAGTTGGCGTCATTTCTCCGCACCGCTGCTGCGTGTTCGGCGATTCGCGTCTGGAGCAGTCTTCCAGTTTCTCCGACGTAGTTGCTTTGCCTGCAACTGCACAGATCCGGCAAACGACTCCGGATGTTTCTTGCCGTGGCAATGGGTTTTTGGGTCCCATCACCTGACGCCTTATCGCGGCCTCAGGTCTGTGTGCAACTCCAACCCCAAGTGGTGCAAGAAGGCGACTAACGGCCTCGGAGACTTTCTTCATGTACGGGATCGCTCGCCAGAATTTGGGGTCGGTACGATTTTGTCGCTCCTCTACTTTGCGCATGCACCGGTTGACGAAGTTGCGCGTGTTATCGTTTTCTCTGAAAACCCATCGAAGATATTAGAATTCGGCGGCCTTGTCTTCCGGTTCACTGCAGTGCGTCTCAACACGCCGATATAGCGTCCTTACGCAATTGCGTTTGTGACTCATTAGGCGGTTGTTGTTGAAGTTCAGTATTTGTGTCGTGTTCGTCGCTTTCCTGAACACTTTGGTCTTTAGGTCACCGCAATCCTATAAAACTGCATCAAAATCGTTCATAAGTAAGCAGATGCACAGAAATGCACCACAGGCCGAGTTTTCGGTCGCGTGCCACACTGGTGAACTGATTTTGTACCAGCTGTCGAAGGAGACTCAAATCCCATACCACCCGGACGCTCCAACTAGGACCACAGTTAATTTGCATTCTGCGGGGACTTTATACCCGTCCGGTGCTTTAAGCTTGTTTTCTTATGGCGTTCCCTCTAGATTTTCCCTTCAGCACCAAGAAATTAGCTTATCCTCTGGACGTGTCCCTGATTCATCCTCCTGTGTCTATTTCTGCCGAAAATGCACTTTTCATCCTAATCATTTTAGCTCCTCCTGTGGGCGTCCAGCCAGAGGTGGATGCCTCCAAGAACCATCTGAATCGTGCGCTGGACATTGCCAAACGCTCGGACGCATCCATGGGTCTGTTTTCAAAAGAAATAAATGAACAGAAAATTGCCTCGAAAACAGAGTAGGTTACCCTCTCTGGGGAACTTCTAATCACTCTTTTTTCGTGAAGGAAGAAACACACCAAGCGCAAGAAGGGTGGCAAACCATCCAAAGGGTCGGGCCGGCACGTTAAAGGCAAGAACAAGGGACATAAAAAGAAATCAAAGAAATGAACATCTGCAAGTCCCCAGCTTTTTGTACATACTTGCTCAAATAAATTATCGCCCATGTCTTGATGTTTTCCCGGGGGCCAGCCGCCAGATCCAAACTCAACTTTGTTCGATTCAGTCCTGGCTTATCACTGTTCGGCCAAATCTTGTGTCCACGGTACCTCTTTGCTGTTCAATGCCTCTTCTCAAAGTATTTTCAACAGCTAATACGGAAATCCCCTGTTGCCCGCGACTTAATAATATCGGTAACCTGGGGTAGAGTTTTGGTTGAAAAACCTAGGGTTCGATCTCAGAAAAGGTGGTAGGGAAACGTAGCCTGCTCATGAACTCCCCACACCTCTTTACTGTGTATCAGGATAAAATGGCTGGACCCGTGAAAAGTATGCAGGTATAGTTAGCTCGTTTCTCATAATCGGCCAGCGGTGTAATGCCTCGCTGGTTAGTGTTCAGGTATAGTCGTGGCTGTTCAGGAAGACTTTACTCTTAAATGTGCCCTGGCTACGGAGACAGGTTTGGGCTTTGCTATCATTGGGCAGGAGGCGATCACTGTGAGTGGAGGTCGAGCCGGCGGACCCATGTAAGTGAAGCCTGGCGGCATCGCGTGTGAACCCGGGTCCAGCACCTGCCACGTGGAACTTATTTTGGAACTACAGGCACCGTATGAGGGGGTTAGATGCTAACAATTGTTCTTTAGTACTCTAGCCATGTTCTTTTATGCCGTACCACTGGTTTTTTGAAGTTGACTGGTTTTGTGCGGCAGCCGCAGGTCCCTTGACGGGACGTTGTCTGTCAGTCTTGCACTATTTTTTCGGTGTTTTTTGTTTATTCAAGAGCGTCCTGGTGGAGCACTTCGGGTACCCTAGTAACGTTTAGTCTGTAACCCCTGCTGTTGGGCACTGCGGCTGACCTAACAGTAGGTTCCGCTTAAGCTACCAAAATGCGCACCGATTTCCACTACTGATTGAACCTGATTCCACACTTCGTCGGGCAGGGGAAATATCTGCCCCCATTTAGTCTTGCCTGTCAGTTTAGGCGGTCACCAGAGTATGACCCCTGCTCTCAACTCAGCTATGTGGAACCACAGATGAGAAGGTTTGGTTGACTACTTCCTGCTGCCAGGCGCATGCGGAGGTCATCGGTTAGTCGACGTGACAGTCCCTCTGGACACGTCATATACTGGTTGTAGTTGCTGCCTCATCCAGTGGTGGTGAACATAGCCGAAGGACTTCGGTGCACACTGGTTCTTTGACGAGCAGACTACAGTTTTCAAGACTAGGACTTCGTGCAGGCGAAGCCTATCTTTCTGAATGCATTTCCATGTTTCCGGCAGTTCCGCGTAAACCTACTCTTATCGTCTATTGTATTCTGGCCATGGGAATGAAGGAAGTTTTTGCTGGAAATTTTGGAACGATGATTTCGGAATAAATCGTGTCTCCCGAGTTAGTAGTGGCAGCGTTGTGCTGGGTTTTACCATGGCTGCCGCGGAGTCCCCTAACACAATTCGAAGCCCGTACTGGAACGATTGTGAGTTGGCGGGGCGCCTGTCAAAGCCGCATTTAAGCATTGGTGTCTATTACTTTTTAATTGCATAATTTGCTCCTACAAGGGAACGAACGTTTAACGAAACGGTTGTCTGACTTGATGACCAGAACCTGTTGCAAGATATTGTTTCTAATCAGAGACTCAACATCCCAGACAAGGGTGTCGGTGTTATTCTGAGTGAGGATGCGAATGGCCGGATTTACAGGTCGTCGGGTAATTTGACGAGACATAAGCTGTCGAAAATACATATGTTTGAGCAGGACCAAATTGGGGAGTGAAACTCTAAACCGGTCAAATGTACGGTCGGTGACCGATCGCATGAATTAGTGGGCGAAACTCTGGAATGTGTTTTCGATTATGGAGGATTACTTAAGTAGGATTGTGGTGTTGATTACTTTGTGGCATGGTCCTGTGATATTCCAGAATGATAGTTTCTAAATACACCTCTTCGGCTGCCTGCAACAACCGCAGTCGATGAAGAAGTGGTCACTTAAATAGCATGCATTTTTTCATTAATTTTCGATGCCCCTAAAGATTCAATTATGTTTCATGGAAAACATGCATAAAAATATTCATTCTTTTGCTCAATCGGTAGAAAATGACGTCTTCTTTCAATTGTTCACTCGAAGGAAGGGCGTAATTCGACTTTTACGAAGTTCCTAATTGTGAGATTTTTTTATACCGTGGAATGACCCTTCATAAAACGTCATGTCTCTGCATTTACCAACGTTGCTTGTAAAGTTAGCAATATGGCGCAAATTTACTGCCAGATTTTATGAACCTAATACAGTCTCCTCTTAATGCCATAGAGAAATACATGGTTTTCAGTACGTAGAAAATGTACGGTTTGTAGTTTGGAAACCCTGAATGCAAGTGTAACGGCAGGTCAGGTTCAAAATTATTCGGGAATTGGAAAAGTTTTATAAAACCAAATTATACCCTCCCCTCGAGCATAAAATCGAAAGAAGACGTAATTTTCTACTGAATAAGCAAAACACTGAATATTTTTATGCATGTTTTCCATGAAATATAATTGAATCTTCAAGGGCATCGAAAACCAATGAAAAAATGCATGCTACTTAAATAGTCATTTTTACGGAGTATGGTTTTTGGATGCAGACGGAAAGGAGTTTGTTTGAAAGCCGGCGTCCTGGGGTAACTGAATTATTGCAGAATTATGCTGCATGCTGATTGGTTTTACAACCCTACTTAATTAATCTTTTCGAAACGAAAACGCACTTCGGAATTTCTGTTGACATTTCATGAGTTAGCCCACTTACTGCATAATGTTGTGCGTAGGATGACTGTGGGCTCGTGGACGATAGATATGCCAAAGCGCTCTAACTGTCAGAAGATTGTTTTAGGAATTCCTTCCATGTAGGGCAGGGAACAGTTTTCGCGCCCCTTTATTTCCACTAGACTCGAGGCTTTGTTGTTGTCTCCGGCGTCTTAGACAATTTTTCACGAAGCTGGTCAGATATTCATTGGACTGGAATAATCGATATGTGTACGCCAGTTCTTTCTCATGAAGGTCATCGCCGCTGCAGGGACGAAAAGCCCTGTGGAACAGGGTCCGGACCCAGTTTATTTTATGGACATCAGGGTGTAGTTTCGACGGGCGCTAGTTGCGAGCTTGCCATCACGGAGTTTTTGCTTACTCAACTCAAAAAACGGGAGGGTATCTCCTGTTGCTTATCCGTGAGTAAAGTGCGTAGCTGGGAAGACAGAACTGAGGCTCTGGTGTACTTGCTCAACTTCGCAGGTCTTTAGTATAAAGAATGTGTTATCTACGTAGGGAGCCACATTTTTGGTTTGGAATTTTGCCTGACATCCTCGTCTACTCGATGTAAAGCGAGTTCTGCAAGTAACCCCGTTATTGGCGGGTCCATTGGGGTGCCATTAAATTGTTCATAGTACTTGACATGAGACTGACAATAGTTATTGAGGCAGAGCTTAAACATGTCTAAAACCTTCTGTCTTTGGATTACCTATGGGATTTCCCTTTGGGCGTCGAGCTACGCCCTCAACTGTCAATTCATGCGGTGTTGAGGATGCCATGGCAACGGCATCAAACGATAAAAGGCATTTGTCAGGACTTACTCTAAGGCCTTGGATCTTCTGTAGCAATGCCTGAAAGTTTCTAACGCTGTATTGCGATCCACCTACACACGCAGATGTGGAACACCGGAAGCTGGATCCGAAAGATCACGGGATGTATGTATGTATGTATATGTATATATGTTCGCTGTGCAACTTCTGGCGGGGATCCAGATCGGATCAGCAAGTACAGTGGGACGAGCAGTTCTCATAACCCGATCGGTGAAAGCGCTTCCAACATATAGATATATACGCCACACTAATCTGAGGCTGATATTAAGAACTCCTGGGTTTATGCTATATTTAAGTGTAGGCGGCTGTCACGTCACCGGCTGCAGATGCGGTACAGAGATAGTGGGAGGGGGAGTTTTAGGCGCGGATCTGATGCTGGGGTATGATGCGTTGACAACGGCAAATGAGTCATGACCAAATTGTACAGCCTCCCTTGGCATTGTCGATGATACTTCTCAAATTTGTGTCAGACCTTTTCCATGAGTGATCAATTGTGTGTTTGATTCGTCTGCGTTCTCTTTAAATTAAAAGTTCATCTCATGGTGAAGACGCCAGTTTCTTGATTTTTAAGAAAGTGACGCTTTTCGTATACCTTAATAAGGCAGTTCCCTTGCGTAATATTCAACACGCTTGACCTGGGGATTAAGGCTTCTGGTGCTTTTTTCATTTCTTGTTCTTCATCTTTTAAAATTCCTCAATTTCTCTGAAAACAAAAGCGCAAATTAAGGCACTTTTTATATTCGCTTGAATTCTTGTAGATTGCATCGGCAATATTTGCTGCTCAGTTATCCTATCGTCTCATGGTAGCGAAAGGAATCAGTTCGTTATGCGAAGCTGTCAGTGTGCTGCCCAAGTTATATCAGTTTCCTGATCCTGCCATTAATGCGGTTAGCAAAGGGGTCAAAACTTTTCGAGTTTCTACGTATGCCAACAATTGTGGACGCTTTTGACTCTTCTACCTCTACAACCTTTCCCATACAGGTTCGATACACACGCACTTGTTGGTGGCGTTTAACGCCCATTGGGCCATCAACACCACGTGCTTCTTAAGCTGGCCTGACCAGTCAAATACCTGAAATCGGGCAAAATATTTCTTGTTTGCACTACCCCAAATCAGTCAAGTCCTGCGCGCAGTAAGTCGTATGGCAATTAAAAAGGTGTACGCGGATAATCACGTTTAAAACAGGCCTGAATCCGGCAATGCGCATTTGCTTGGCTGTCCAAACAACAAAATGTTTAAGGGTCTTCCTAGCAACCGGGCCTAGAAGCGTTTAGCAGTTTAGATCCATTTAACTAAGGGGAAGTCAAAGGAGCAAGATAAGATATACAGTCTGGTTTATCGGGCTGCATAA